AGAAAATACTTAATAAAATAGAAACTAGCATATTAATGTAATACATTTATTATATTATGTAAACTTGACCTTAGATTCTACAATCAAGTTTTTGTTATTTCTTTTAAATAATATAGCAAAAAAATTTTGAATAAAAACTGAACTTACAATTATTCATATAAAACAGATATGTCGGTTTAATTATTGTAATTAACCGATATTTAATATTTTGTTGCTTTATAACTTAATAAACACGTGAACGAATGTAACGGGCAATGTTTAAATATTTTACTATAGAGTAAAAACACTGCACTTTTAATAAATCGTTGATTTTAATTAACTGCTAAGTGTTAGATAAATAGNACTTTTAATAAATCGTTGATTTTAATTAACTGCTAAGTGTTAGATAAATAACATCTATTTAGAAAAAACATGTATGATTTAAGATTTTTTTTCATGTTAAGTTTCCCTAATATTTATTAGGTATTAATTTATAATGACTAATTCCCTTTGAATGCGTTGATTGCTTTGATAACTGATAGGATTCAACGCCATTTGTGGAAACATTTGTACGTGAAAACCAAGGAGTATTGCCGCCGCCAGGCCTTTTCGACAATGGCCCTAGAGGAGATAGGGGCGGAAGGTGGGGTCCAGACAGACGTAACGGTCAAGACCGTAGAAGATTTTAATTTATCTAACTAAATAATATTGACCAATACAAAACAATTAAAAATGAACGAGATGAATTAGAAGATTCATTTATTGAAAATTATTCTTATGGATTTTTTTTTTATCGCATAAGCTTGCTATTAGCATTTTCCATATTGTCAATTAATGTAATACTTGAATATCTATTAAAATTGTAACGTGTGTCCTATAGGATTTAGTTGATAACTATTATGTATCTTAATTGCATGATTTTGATACTAACTTAGATAGAAGCATATCGAAATCCAATTGTGACTTCAGCTTCCGTAATTACTTATCCATTATCCAGTACAAACTTTTGTTTTTCTAAAAATATTTCATTGAACATTATTTCTGCCAATATAAAAATACGATTCTCTTTTCGTAATAATGCAGCTTATTTAAGAAATGAATTCAATTGTGTTCGCGTGTCATGAAAAATGCAGTTAACAATTTTGACACCTTTTGTATTCTTCAATTTTGTATTAGGCGTGTATCCTGGGAATCGTTTTTATGTGATTTTCCTTTACTTTAATAGTTTTATTAACTATTTAATATAGTTATTACATAGAGTTATTTTCAATATTATTTTTTTTATGTTAATTTTTTCTTGTAATTTGTATATCAGTCAAAAATATTAATGTAGCAATTTATTTTTTTTGTATACAGTATTGATGAGTAATTTATCTTCAAATTATATTTTTCAATTTTTATATAACTTCTCGTTTTACAATTATAAGTTTTTTTTCATTATCGCCAAGCTGCTAGCGATCTTCAAGAGATATACATTAGAAATATGTTTTCTTCTTTTTTAATTGTTTTGTTTGAATTAAAAAGTATCTTATTATGTCTTTAAGTAACAAAAAAAAAAATCGCGTCAGTTGTTCTGATATAATAAATATATTAATCAATGTAAACTCCGCGAAGTCGCGAGCAACCTGGTGGTAATTAATATTAACACAAATTAATAACAAATCATTATTTGATAGACGTATTTTAAAAGACTATTTATTTTTCCTTAGAGAATATGGTAATTTTTATCAAATTTAACATGAACATTTTTAGATGTCATGTTATATAAATATTCGATTACGATTTCAGATTACGATTATTAATATATTAACTATATTTATGAAAATTAACTTTGATCGGGTTTAATTATCTCTGTATATAAGAAAATTTTACAATTTAGTTTTTTCCACTTAACAATGTCTAGTTTATCACTTTATAGTTGATATTATTTTTCGAGGCATTAAATTATTTATTTATTTTCTGTACCGAAATTAATTAGACACTAGTCTAATAAAATATTCAACAAAGTAGATTTTATAACGAAACAAAATTATTTAGTCTTAGATTTATTGCATTTCTATTTTTAAGTACTATTTTTATTAATATTATGTATTAAATTAATTATTTACGTTTTGCCAACATAAATAGCAAATAATAAAACTTTATACAATTATGTAACCTAAATTGAAATTATTTGGTGTGAAATATAATACTTATTTATAATTTAAAAATAAATGAACAAATTTAGAAACAATTCTCTAGTACAAGTTCATTAAAAATCTACATTCCCTATCATGTTTAATGTTTAAAACTGATCTATAAGGCTTCTTTACTAATATAATATATAAATAATCCAAAGGTGTATATAAGAAAATAGAATATATCTATACTACTTTTAAACTTTTAAGAGGTTTTTGTTTAAATTAATTGAGTGTTTATTTAGAGCTACACATAGCCATCATAGGCGCAATTTGAGCAAAATTTTCGGAGAAACTATATTTCTTCCCTTTTTTATAAGCATATCCACACAAATTTACATATAATTATTATAATTGATATCGAAATATATATAATATATTATAATCGAAATTATTAAGTCTATTAGAAAGGGCTAAGTCCCCTTTAAAACCAATATAGCGCTTAAGCAGGACTGGAAGTTAGTAATTAGAGTCATTTTATTGATAATGTCAATTTTAGTTAATTTTTTTCTTCATAAAACGGCTTAAATTAATGATTTCCGATTTGATTTTTTTTTTTAACGATTAAAAATTGTTTAAAATATGTGTTTGTATGACTTTGTTAAATTAATAAAATATAATTTTTCAATTATAAAAAAAAAATTTTTTAATTTACATTGAATTTGATCAGTAGTCTCATTAGAAATTGTAACGACCATAAAACATGAGATGTATATCATCTACTTTGGTAGTTCGGTCTTTCATTATTTTTAGTCTGTAACTGTAAATAATATATTATAATTTTAATTTATTATTACTATAACTAAGTTCATAGGAATTTTTTTAGTATACATTAAATATGTCTAGTAAATTTCGAGGTATTATATTGTACTTGAAAAAGGAAACCTTTTTCTCATAATATTGAAAAAAAAATTTATAAGCATATTAAAAACAATTTTGTGAAGACCACTACAATAATAATAATGGGAATCCTAATTATTAAACAGATAGTTATAAAAAAAAACCTTACACTCTTATAAAACTCAAGTATCTTATTGTAAATTGTGTATTTATAATACATTTTATTATTTATATATAGATGTTCAGTAAGTAAGGAAACATAAATTGTTATAAAAAATGAAAACAATAGAAACCCGTTTCCTCACTCAACATTTCTATATAATACGGAGTGATTGATTAACTATACCTCACAAATTACTGCATAGTTCATCAATCACTCTATTTGTATTAATTTATTATCAATTCATTTTAAAGATGTGTAGTTCTTTTTTACCTGATAATTTATCCTATTTAGTTTTCTTGAATTGAACAATTTCCTAGTTATTCTGTATTGATGTTTTCCTTTTATTATAAAATTTGCAGTGTGAAATATTTTCTATTTATACAGAATGTTCAGTAAGTAAGGGAACTGTTAAATTGTTATAAACAATGAGAACAATTGAAACCCATTTCCTTACTTACTGAACACCTATATAGTACAAGGAATGTAAAGAAAACGGCTCATCTCTTAAAGGAGCGTATTAATTTATTAAAAAGAAAATATACATTTTAAACAGATATAGTATATCTATTTATAGTAATCGATGATGAAAGTGTATATTAACAAAATTTGAAAATTAATTAATAATAAAGGTATGTTTACAAATAAAATAACGTTGAAGATATACAGGTGGCCCACCACTCACTGACAACTTAAATAACTTTTGATCCAGTTAATATTTTTAGTTGATTTTTTTTTTAAATAATAGTTATACGTTAGGTCTATAGCTATATCTCACTAATTAATTTTTTTACATTTTATTAAAAATATTAATTATTTTTAAATTTTAAATAAAATGTAAAAAAAAAATCTAAGATAGCTATTTTGTAGAGTAGAATTTAAGAAAAATTTTAGTAAAAAAATATCTTATTAATATTCAGTAGTAAATATTCTGTAGCGTTTTGAAGTTTGTGAAAATTTGAATTTTCATGTACTATTTTACGGTATTAAACATTGAAATACGTATTGAGAAAAGGACAGAAGAAAACGCTATCTTTTCATGATTACTGTGTATACATATGATGATAGTGTGTATACATTACAAACTTGGCATTAATACCATGATAAGAAATTAGATAAGGCAATTATTACTTATCACTCTCATTCAAAAGTATATTGAAAAGATAGCGTTTTCTTCTGTCCTTTTCTCAATACGTATTTCAATGTTTAATACCGTAAAATAGTACATGAAAATTCAAATTTTCACAAACTTCAAAACGCTACAGAATATTTACTACTGAATATTAATAAGATATTTTTTTACTAAAATTTTTCTTAAATTCTACTCTACAAAATAGCTATCTTAGATTTTTTTTTTACATTTTATTTAAAATTTAAAAATAATTAATATTTTTAATAAAATGTAAAAAAATTAATTAGTGAGATATAGCTATAGACCTAACGTATAACTATTATTTAAAAAAAAAATCAACTAAAAATATTAACTGGATCAAAATTTATTTAAGTTGTCAGTGAGTAGTGGGCCACCCTGTATATTTTATGACAAAATTGTGATTTTCTATATCTTAAATTCATTTTGAATTTAATTGATTTTACTAATACGATCATCAGGTGTGAGTTTTTATTAAATTATTTTTTTTACAAGTGTGTAAGAGGTTAATTAATACCTGCTATCTTAAGCTGGAATGATGCAATTAAAAATGAGTTAGTGCTGTGATTNTTAATTAATACCTGCTATCTTAAGCTGGAATGATGCAATTAAAAATGAGTCAGTGCTGTGATTTCTCGTTAACTTCTGAATTGGGTAACGTGATGTTCTATTTTTACTGATCGAATTCAAAGATGTCAATCATCTGAGGACCAACAATGACAGGATTTTTTACTCACAAGGAAATAGTGTATCCATTGTCACACACTACACCTTTTATTTTTAAATTATACTACCTTTAAAGCAAGGTTTATAGGATTCTGTAACCTCGTTAAACAAATTTCAGCTTAACTTTTTATATATTGTACTAACTGATTTTAATGTGTTTTTGTAATTAAGTAATCCAAGTTGTTACATTTTAAATACTGCGTGTTTAAAATGCCAAAATTTTCAATATTTAGATTGGTCTCATGGGACGTTTTAAACTGCTTATTTACGTTTTAAGTAGTTTTTTTAACATGAATTTAACAGTCCTGCTAGTAACTAACATAACAAATGAAAAACAAACTGTTGTACTCCCAATTTTTTTATTTACGATGTCAATTAATTTTTGTTAAAAACTGTCTTATACAGAAAACACTATTACCAAAAAAATGTGTCAAACACAAATTAATGAATAGTAATTATTACATTTTTTTCTTAATACAACTTAAAATTACCACTAAATATTTTTATTGTCTTAATTTGCGCCTAATATTTTGTTTTATTTCATTTGGATCATCAGAATTTTTTTGTAACTATTTGTTATATGTATTTTAATTTTTTTCAGCTGATTCACAGATGCGACACAATTTGTATAATAGAACATACTAATGGAAATTCACGAATCGTAGAATTTCTATTATGAAAAGTCGTTTTACAGTTACTTAACTGCTTTGATCTTCGTTTAAAAATGCATTAATTAGTAGTCAATAACTGTTATATATATAGTAGTATAATTATGATTAAGTAAATTCTAGCATTTTTTTTTCGTTTTTATCGATATGGTCAAGCTTTTACATACAGTAAAGTTTATTAAAGCTATCCAATTAACATAATACTCCATTAACACAGATTGGGTTGAAAATTGAAACATTTGTTAAAGTGCTTATAGTATAACTATACAGTAGTAAAACTACTGTATAGTTATACTATAAGCATTTTTAATTTTTAAACAGTATTAGATACATAATGATTATTTTCATTTATTATAATAAAATGCTAATTTATTTATTTCAAACGTAAATCTTATTTTGCTTTAAAATTTTATTTAAAAAACTTAAAAAGGTTTAGTCCAAAATTATTTTATTTTAAATACAAATACTCGTGTATAGCACATCAGTTTTATCTATATTATGTAAAATTATTATGAGAATAGCGCAATGAGATTTATTTTTAGGTCTTTTTAAATGGGTCCCATTTAACCGGTTTTATAGAAATGTTAATTAAAAAAACTTGGCAATTATCTTTTCATCTGACAAACTATTTATGAGTATTAAATTGGATTTAATCAGGAATAGGTTTCTTCTTATGAAAATATTTAAAGACTTTACAACTACTTCGGTATATGGTAAAAAAAAAAATTTCAAAGAAATTCATTTTGATACTCCAATTACCCCTTTAATACTCTATTTTCCAATTAATTTTAAAAGTATTTTATACACTGCTATATATGAAACATGTACATTAAGGTTTTACAATAATAAGATTTATCATCTAATAAAAAAAAACTATTTTTGAAAAAATTGTTACCTCAAGGTCAGTGTAAAGTCTTCATTTTATTTTCTATATACCTGTTAATCTCCTAATTACTTCTCTGTTCATAAGAAATAAGCTTTAATCTGACTTAAAAAAATGTTTTTATATTATAAAAATAAAGAATATTATAAATTACATAAGTTTTACTTAAGATTTTGAAACAGTTTTACTACATAATGAAGTAATCTGTTAAAACTTATTATATATTATAATAACTTAAAATAATAAGCTTACTTAAAAAATATAATTTGCTTTTTATTCAATATTGTATATTCTATACAAAAATTAAATAATCAGTGTGTTGTGGATGTAAGTGATAGTTCGTTAAAATAGTTTTGTTTAAAGTAACATATTCATAATTTCAATTTATTTTTGTATTATGTTTTTTAAATGAAGTTTGATCAGAACTTTCTGTGATAAGATAATTAAATGGTAATAAAAATTGCATGCTTCTACTTTCCTTAATTCATGTTTCAAAAAAAAAAGTTGGAAGGTCTAATGAGTTTGATCTTTTAAAAGAGAAACTTAAGTCTTTACATTTATTTAGTAGGTATATTATGTTTGTTTTTATTATCGTGTGAGTTTAATTAAACATTTTTAATTATTTAAAATTTCAATATCAAGTTGAATACAGCAAACTAGGTGTTTTATTATTAATACTTTTAAAATTTATTGTTCCTCTTGATTTGTTGACTGTTTTTAAATTTAAACTCTCTAATCGAATTAAAAAAATCTTAATTTCAGATTTGTTATAATCTAATCTACTTAGAAAAAACCTCAAGTTTTTATCTTTAACTCTTATTACTCTTATTTATTGACATGTATTGGAAACGTAAGACATACAAAAAAGTGACTAGATAGTTGTAATGAAGTGTTGTGTTGCCTTATAATTAAGTTTCAGTCATTTTTAACAACGTAAATCGCAACTATTTGTTAACGTTAGTGTGTACTTAAATAAATGACCTCAAAATTTCGCTTTTAGAATATTTCTACCTGGAAGTTATTAATTATTTTAGCCTATGGATGATAAAATAATATTTATATTTAATTTACCTGACCTTCATGAAAAATATTTCCTGAGAATAACTAAATTTTAGAAAATGTATTTTTCAAATTATTCCAATGACGTGAACTGACTTCTGAAATTTCATTTCCATTTGTATCTTTCATTGCTTTTATACATCATCTTCATTTTTATTATATATATTTAGGATCTTTAGGCGGTATTAGACAGTTTAGTGTTGCCAGCTCAAATAAAAAAAGGTTAACATTAAATAATCACTTATAAGCGTCATTTACTGTCTCTTCAAAAGTTATAATCTGACAACGGTTTATAAATAAATGTATGTTTGGTTTCTCAACCAACATGTAGTTTAAAAATATCGATTGTCCAAAGAAATCATGCCCGGCGTCGACCAGAGAGCTGCTCTGAACCCGGAAACATCAAAAACTCAGGTATGTCTTCGTCGTTGAGTCGATTGTTCATATAAATTAATAGCTAATGCACTGTAACAATATAGCGCGAACGTAACTATCAAAGTAAAAAATGTGTAAGTATTGTTCTGGCTTACGTTGATAAGTATATTTATGCCGCCTTTACAAACATAAATAACGTGTTGTACTATTCGCCCATATATATTTGATCATCCTTATTTAAATGAAATGAATTGTATATTGAAATTGGTATGTTGGCGCGGACTTATTAAAATTTCAGACGATGAAATATATATTTATATTAATCTATTGACCTAATATTCGTAAAACGAATATTAAGTTAAAATTTTTAAAAATCCGTCTAATGACAATCAAAATAAACGTCAAACTTCTGATTTATAAATTATTAGTTAATATTGATTCAGAACTGGATAAGAATTCAAGACAAGAGTTAGATATTTTTATTCTCGTCCTACATCTTATTTCATTTAGTAACTAAAAGCTATTTGGGGGTTCATTAACAATGATCGAAAAAATGTTATTAATAACTAAAATAGTTCTATGATGTTGACCTAATAAACGTAAACTTTTCTAAACGATCGAAAATTACCAAAAGAAAAATTTTGTTTCTTAAATTATTTTGATGTTTCCTAAAAATTAATTTGAACTCTAAATGACAAATTTAGTGTGTTCTATCGGTTCGGTTGATAAATTTATTATTATTGTATTTTGTCGACTATATGTGACATAAAGCATATATATTTTATGTTAGTTTTCTGAATTTGTATAAGAAATAAGTCACGCGACGCAGTGTATTCCTTTATATTATATTAAGACTCTTAATATTTAGGTCGTAACCGTTTACTTTAAAATAAATTCTGCGACATGGAGTTATGGATAAATAATTCAAATACAAATATTTTTGAAGGATTCATATATTTATCAGTTAAATTTGTATTCATTTGTATTTACTATATTTTTAGAAACGTTACTATAATGTGTTTTTGATTTTACTTTACAGATTCGACTATGCTCCGTTTATGGATGATCTCGAGTGTGTAGATAAAAAAATTATCTTTGTGGAAAATTTCACGGTTGAAATGTTTGAAAGGATATTAAACGTGGTGTTTGGAAATGATTCAACGGATGCTTCCTTAGTGACAAATTTGTGACTATTGATTTTCGAATCATTACTCTAGCCTCTCGTTGCTTTAAATCTATCACTGCAGTATGCTTTCAATGCACCATTACAAGGTATTTACTTCATTAAACTAAAAGGATTACAATGCCTCGAAAACAACGTCCTCTGTTTCACCTCCCTTCTATGTAAATGAACACCGCAGGATGAATGTCTATGCAGCACGAAACCTTACCGTTGTTGGCAATAGTTTATCAACTTTATTTCCAGTTTAATATTAAACTATGTGTTCTTTATTCTTATTTAATTTTACCTTTTTAAACCATTTACGGGCGTGCCAAATTTCGGTTGATAAAAATATATATTTGGCAGCATTTTCTATTTTACGTTACATTAGTAGATTAGTATATTACCAGTTGTTTGCATAATGGTCATTTTTATACGTTTTTTTTCATAGGTGGGCAACGATGGAGGTTGGTTCAGTACATCTTGAAAGAAGACTTCAGAGTCGAGCAATATTAATGAAAATAGCTACAATAAATGAGCAACGTTTCTTTATTTATATAAGACTTATTTTATAATATATGAAAAGTTTAAGTAAATAAACAAAAATCGTTTATCGTATATGATTCAAATTTTAAATTACTATTAGCTTCGATGCGAAGCGGAGAAGGTATTAATTTTACTATGATGTGTTTTTTTTTTTTTTTTTTTTTTTTTT